CAGTTAATGCGAATTCAGTTCTTATTGAACAGCATGTGACAAGGATTTGGGGCAAAGCAAGTCAATTCAGTAACTCAATGTCACATGGACGTCTTTTCAGTCTAAGCTATTCGAGTTGATATTTCAATGACTATGAAAAAACTCCACAGCGTTAGCGTGATGGACATAGAAAGTTGCCTATTTGGCCTTAATTATTTTGGTCCAGTTTTTATTTTCTGATAAACTTATTAACCTTTACTAGTGCGTAGAATATAGTAACGCTGATGTAACAAATCAGTATTCATATTTTGAGCTCTAGCCTCGTTTTCCTAATCCTTTCCACATTTATATGATTATTTTACCGGACGGTCCATTAGCGATAGCAGCAGATATCAGCAGTAATGCTCAAATCTGACATAAGTCAGACGGTAGCTCTGCACGATTTCATCAACACCTACAAGGGACGGCCTCGAGAAGTGAGTCTGCCTAGGTGTTCTCGTAAGAAAGATATTGGTATCATGAGTCCGGGTGTGATGATAATCTCTAGCACCCCCACCTGTCGAAGGAAATGGAAAAGACAATATGGCATACGTGCTATGGCATATCTACTAGCAAGTGAACAGTTAGTAGTTCGACCATATACTTCAGACTGGGCTCCTAAATATTATTCCCTCCTTCCGACGGACCGAACCATCGTCTACGATGGTGCAAATCTTCAGACATGTAAAAGGAGTCAAAAAACAACTTGCAACATGTATAAACAGATAAAGCCTTTTCAACAACGTCCGAACTAAACAACACATTCATAAACACACACAAGTTCACTCACTAAAAGTCTACTTTTGTGGCCTACTTGCAAGATCGGTTCTTAATTAACCGGCTCACATATTTGGGCTGTCATTTAGAGTTGTCCGCAGAGGAGCATTGGTCTTTTGAGTCTGCGCTCGAAGTTATCGCCATTCTCCCTGAACTCTTTGGCCTATTTTGATGTCTTTAGGACGCTGATGGAAACAAGAACATTTGGTTTTTTGACCTTGTTTTCGAATGTACCACGTCTACGGTCCTACTTCGTAAGTGATGATGCATACAATGGACTCCGGACTAGGTGCGTTCGTCTAAGTCTTCTTACCAATATGAACAAGTTGCGAAAACAAGGTCAAACAACTTCTGTAAAACGAAAGGAGACTGCGACCACACAAAACGCCACACCATCTTGGTCTTCATACCTTCGAGGTACATTTGGTGTTTATTCCACTAAAATCGCACTTTCGTCAGAGCCTCCTAAAAACGCTAGCGACGACAGTCAAGCATGTCACTGGCATACATACCCCCGCTCGGCAGTTTTAAATACAGGCTCATCAACATACAAGATGCCACATCTCGTAAAGCAGCAAGGCCATGTCTGCCAAAGATTTAATATTTTATATTTTATTTACATCTCAGGAGAAAGATGAAGCCATCACCATTAGCCGCAAAATGCAACTCTGCAGTTGGTGTATGTTGGTCCTTAAATGTAACCACCTGTGCCATATCAATTAAGTGAAATTGAGCATAATTTGGATGCTTGTTCGAAGCCTCCTTCAGGAAGCTACCATTCGAGGAGTAGAATGACGGCCGTACTAGTGGCTGACCCGGTCTCTGTAGCAACGAGAAAGATCAAGTAAAGAATGCGTTTATTGGTCTCACGCGAAGATCCGGCGCCCCAAACGACGCGAGTGAATGGCTGCACTTTGGCCAACCTCAAACGGTTTATCTGTAACTTTATTTTAATGCGATTCTCGAGATTTGCTCTATCGGCTTCTGGACGCATTTAGAGACTTTGGAATGCGCATCAGGTAGCCCCTTGGATCGTGTTTCCGCTGAGTGCAGCATTGGGTTAGGGAACTAATTGCGATTAATTTTCCCGCTGCGGAATCGAATGTAATACTTACAATAGGCAAGTAGCTAATGCGATATTTGTATGGCATTTTAGTTCAATAATGCTGGCTCCAATGGCACTGCAAAGTTGAAGAGAGCATCCCGATGAGCCTTTATGCAAATGGACATGATTAATTGGCATGGTAAAACTGTACAAAGACACAAATCAACTTCAAGCATGCACAAAGGAGGGGGGCACACAAAGTGAATGCCAACCATTTCATGTTCACGTCAAACTACACCTCCTCGGAGGAGAGCTGAGCTCGTGTTCGGAATTCTTAGAAACTGTCTTCAGCTACTCTTGCACGATAGAACTCCTGTATGCAGGATTTCGAGGTCTTGTCTGTATGGGCAGGGAAGTGACCTGAAAGAAAATGTAACAAAGCGGATGGAGGATAATCTGACAAATGCAGGTTAAGCAGACAGCAAATTGTGTATAATCGGAGCCAAGCTTGAGCAGTAGAAGAGCTAATTGGAGCCGATATACTGCATCATGTCCGGCGGCAATTAGCGCCTACCTTCATGGGCTGTGCTGACCCGCTTGCGTTCACGCTGGCACACTTTTTGGTACACGGTCTTCTTCAAATGTCTGCCTGGTTCGGCCAGTCACTGAGCAGACTTGAAGGGTACAATGCCAGCAAATAACTTGGCCCTCCTCAAGCTAAATATACTCAAGCAAGGTTACTCTTTTAAGCAAGCCGTTTCTGCAGACTTTACATTTGTGGATGTGAAGCGTTGAGAGGCTCGTCGATAGCGCTTAGAAAACAGCTACATAGACCTTCCTACTTGGCAGTTTCTGAATGACCCCGAAGGTTTCCACTTTTTGCCGACGGTAGCAAATTTGGCCTTTTTTTTACAAAAGTCGCCTCTCTTTTGTATTGCAAGAGGTTTTTCTCAGACAATCTAAACAATACAGCGTTCAACCCGTCTCATAAAGAAGCTGAATTTGACCTGCACTTGTCTGCTCTTGGCCAACTAGCCAATCCTGTGGCGTGGAGGGAGATAAGATGTAATTATTTGCCAGCAATTTGCTGAAAGCAATTACCTTTTTGACTGAGCCACGCTAACTTCTTGGCATGCACGTTATAATATGCCATTCTACAGTTGCTGTCCACATTTTCCCTGCGGAATATTGACAAGAATAGAAGCCTCCCGATATTGGATACGCTCATTTGGAACGATTAAATTTCCGAGAAACGAATTATGCATGCATTCGTTGCCAATCAATCTGCTAAAAGGTACAACCGATGGTTAAAAAGATTGTTAATTCACCTTGAAATATACTGTCCTACATCTGGCTAAAATAAAGCTGTCTAAACTAGCAAGTATACCAATTAAATTGTGATTTAAAATAGAAGATTAAAGAGTACAGCTCATTTCGAACAAGTAGTGTTATGAAAGAAAAGGCTTTTCATACAACCAAATATCTGCTTTTCGCTGTGTACATGCTCGCACTTATCGCCGGAATTAGCATAAAGAAATTCCATTAAGAGAGGGATTAATACATTCCGTAAAGTGGACACAACAAATGGGATTATGTTACGTGTTGAGAGAATTCTCTGTAGCTCAATCTTGTGATCACGCCAGACAATGTTGCGTAATTTTTCCAAGCATACATTAATTTAAGCTTTCTATTGCAGTATCGAGAATGAGCAAATTCACACCATAAGACGTCACGCAAGTCGCTTATTCATACAAAACTTTGTCTAATTAACGTTTACAGATTAAGAGGGCGCAAATTGCTCTGCTTAGACGAGTGGAGCATAGAGCCATTTGGTTGAGCCCTGTTGACTCGTATTATTTGGTGTTTTGACGCTTGAAATCTAAAAACACTGTAAGGCCTGCAATGCCAATTTGACGCAAAATCTGGCATCCCACCTCTATTTCGCTTCATGTATGATTTATTGTTTGTTGATTGGTTGAGTAATAGACTCCAAGCTATTAGACTCAAGTGTCAAATGCTACGTAGGCCATATGAAGTCGAGAAGCAAGAAT